ACATGAGTCGGCAATGTGGGGAGGCGGTTAGGAAGGCCAACTGCACCTTGTCGTGCATCCACAGATGCATCTCGAGCAGGTCCAAGGAGGTGATCCTCCCCCTCTATGCGGCACTGGTCAGGCCGCAGCTGGAGTACTGCGTCCAGTTCTGGGCGCCGCACTTTAAGAGGGATGTGGACAGCATCGAGAGGGTCCAGAGGAGGGCCACTCGTATGATCAAGGGACAGCAGGGTAGGTCCTATGAGGAAAGGTTGCGGGACCTGAACCTGTTCAGCCTTCAAAAGAGAAGGCTGAGGGGGGATCTTGTGGCCTGTTATAAACTGGTTAGGGGGGATCAGCAGGCGCTGGGGGAGTCCCTGTTCCCCCGAGCGCCGCAAGGAGTGACCAGGAACAATGGTCACAAGCTGGCGGAGGGAAGGTTTAAGTTGGACATCAGGAGGCGCTACTTCACGGTCAGGGCGGCTAGAGTCTGGAACCAGCTTCCAAGTGAGGTGGTGCAGGCTCCCACCCTGGGGGTTTTTAAGAGGAGGTTGGATGACCACCTTACTGGGGTCATTTGACCCCAGTGCTCTTCCTGCCATGGCAGGGGGTCGGACTAGATGATCTGCTCAGGTCCCTTCTGACCCTAGAAACTATGAAACTTTGTAATATACTAATGTGAAGGAAAACTTCTACATATACAAGGTCAACAGTGAAGTCCTGTTGACATCAAGAAGTGATATGGGCATTCTGGAAGAGCATTCTTGATAGTTTGGTAGCTATCCAATAAAAATGCTGGCTTCCTCAGATTGTAATCAATCCAAGATTTGCCACTTCAAGTGACAAAGTGACTGAACTGCACTCAGTGTACAGGGAGGCGTAAGAAGCTCAGACAGAGGGCAGATAACAATTATCCAGCAGCTTTAATTTTAAGGTAAGCTAATGTAACACACACAAGAGCTGCTCTAGTCATGTCCCCTTCTAGCAAGTGAGCAATGCTGATTAGATATAGGTCTCCTAACAAAAGGGAGATAACACAGACCTTATGCTCTTGCAGTTCCCTTCCACAGACTTCCTACCACCTGGGATAGGCTTCTGGGTACTGTGCTGCTGGAAGCCAGTACAGAACCTCAGAGGAATGGTATACTTACTTCTGAGTACTCCTGTCTGATCTATGAAAAGGTTGGATACACCAGAGCAAAATGTGTGAAAATAAACGTAGATTAGAACACGTAGTCCTGTACAGGACAATTACTGTATTGATTACACCTTTAAAAGTCCATTGAGGAAGAAGTTTTGCCTTTTTAAAGATTACAAAATCATGTCCTAAGCATAATTCTAATTATTCTGTCAGTGGGACTGAGACAAAGCGTTTAACTGGAAGTAAAAAAAATTGAATTGCAGAGAAAAGTATAATATGAAGAGGGTTCATATTTATAGCATGTCTGTGTGTGTCTATGTATATATGTTATAATTCACATCTTACATTAGGAAAAATCAATTCATTTCAGAAACTATTGCATCAGACAGATATTAACAAAATGGTTCCAAAAAAGCAGAATTTTCAGACTACGCACCTGTCTCATTATACAAATACAGCTCATACACAGAACATAATTTATGTGGCCTTTTCAACCATATTGTGTGGTTTATGTTTCACATACATATAATCTAATATGCTTTCAGCTGTGAGTCAGATAAGTGCTCCCCGTTTGTTGCAAAAAACTGATATGGCATATTTCCTACTTTTTTCTATATTAAAATAGATGCAGTATCTAGCAACTGAGACAATTATCCCTGGTACAATAAGACATGGTTCTCAAAGATAACCAGCGAAGCAGTGAAAAGTACAGCATGGTACAGCATTTTCTTCACATGGAAAGCTCAAGTATATATACAGTCTAAATACCAGGTTGTGGATAGGGTCCAGCACACAGTCTGAGTGCTACTATCCAGTGTCTATTTCTAAAGAACCACACATAGGCCACATTTTTAAACTTTGCAAAGATGCACATTGCCATTTGTTCATATTCTGGAACAGAGATAGACAAGCAAGCATGCTTGAATTTTTCAAAGTGGGCAGCTGTGTGTGTGCTGAAAGATAAGCAGCTCACAAGGAAAGGTGCAAATAGCTTATCTTTAGACTGTTGCTTGGTGCGTATAAGGCAAGACAGTTATGCGGAAGTTAGCTGTAGCCATAGGATAGACTAGGCTAAACTGGGAAATTCCTGAGGAGGTTCTCTTTAACCAGTGCCTTTTGGCTGATGGCCACAAGAGGCAATAACTGGCAATGAAGAAAGATGGGTGTTGTGTGGCAGCAGAAAACAGAGGCAGAATTCTTGGGTCATAGGGGTCTTGTGGGAAGTACCACTAGAGTAGATGTGAAAGATGAAAGAAGGAAAATGAAGGGAAGATTTGGGGTTGGCATCCCTTGACCTGCCGTTTATACTGCTGGCATATGCAAATAACCACTTGTACGTTATTGTGACAGGTCTGCAGCCTGAAAGACACTCACTCAGCTTCTGAAAATTGTTTCAGGGGCCACTTAGGGCCAACAGTGAATTGGCAGAGGAAGAAGACACTTTCACAGCATGTAAGCAACTACAGCAAGTAAGCTACACCAAGCTAACCTTAGCAATTTCTGACCTGCAGAACCAGGCAGGGGCCTGAAGGATGAGCGCTTTGCACACGAAACCAGATGAAGACCATGCTGGGCAGCAGGCAGGAATTCCAACTTCCTGCTGCTCCCAATACCTGGCCACCTCACTGTAATGAGCAAAGTGTTTGGCTAAAGGGGTGTCTCAGGAGGTAGCTGCACATTTGTCATACAGTTTAAAAAAAAGATGTAATGTCCAGTGAATGTAGGCTGCTGTCAACATCATTCTGCAGCACACATACAGGCCAAAGGCCTGGCTAAGCAGGGTTACACTCTTGGGCTCTCTTTATTGGATGTTTGGCCTATTTTCATCATAGCTTTTTAAGGCACCTGTCTAGGCAGGCACCTTCCTTTTGCAAATCCAGGTCCAACATTCCCATCCCTCCTTATACACATGGCAGCAGTATGCAAGACACACACCTAGTCGCCAGGGGAAAGAGGGAATGAGAATAAATCAGAGTGAAAGATGAACTGCATTTTTTTCCCCGTGCATGAGTTTGGGAATTAGTGATACATAATGTGGTGTCTTAGATGAATGTCTGTGTCTTAGAGTTTCTAGGCTAATTTTAAAGCTACCATCGTTTCCCTGGTCCCATTCCCTCCTTCCAATGTTAGCCCTTGCAGAACTGCCATATCTAAGAAAGAGTCCTCTGGTAGCTGACAAAGGACAATATCAGGAAGTGCCCTGATGAAATACGTATAATAATGTGGTAACAGATAAAATGTGGAAAGTTTAAAAAGTGACTAAATTGTAAGCTCCCCACCCTACCCCCTCGTAACTTGAAAGAAAGAACAGTTTGGATTATTGTTTTGTTTGTTGCTTAAATAATTGAGTGTTTAAAACAACCTACTAATAAAAGTTGTGGTTAGCTACATTTTCAACATGGGCCAGCCCTTTCTGCAAAAGCCAAGTGGCACACCCTTCACACTTCAGAAGCAACATCAGAGTGGTACCTCTCTTCTCCTTGGACCTGTAAAATAAGGGAGAGAAGTAGGCAGAGCCAAGACCAGCTGAATCATGCCTTCACTGTTTCCTGCCTTTTAGCTTCCTGCTTTGCAAAATCCTTATGCCATAGTATGTGTGTCTGAACCCTACAGAGATACCTTACACATGCTTTTGTCAGGCCTGGTTTGCAACCTACCTGTCCATGCCTGTATATTTTGGAATAGGCATCATTTTCGGCATGCAGAAAGCACAGCTGACAGCACAGTGTATGTGCAATTGGTCCTTTAAAATATGGCATATATAAAGCAGAAATAATTTAACCTCATCACAAAACGTAGCTAAAACCATTCTCTAGTCTAGCAGCAGCCTATGTGGTAGGTAGATCAGGGATCAGCAATGTTTTTGGGCTGAGTGCCAAAACCCCCCACAACCTGGACTTGGAAGATATTGGCATGCCAGGGGTGGATGGCGGGGGAGCCATGAGGGGCCCGACCCTTGTTGTGGACGTGCAGACACAGGCCCCTCCCTGTCATGCTCCCAGAGGTGCACGTGCCGTCACTGCCAGCAATGAGCCCAGCTGAAGCTTCAGACCCCAGTGCAGATGCTTGCAATGTCACCGTCTACCACACTTGCATCCCTGCCACCCACCATGGAGCCTGGGCTGCTTGCAGCAGGCAGCCATAAGCCTGCAAGCAACTGCACTGGGGTCTGAAACCCCAGCTTGGCTCGTTACCAGCAGCAGCTGCACACATGCCAGCAATGGCTGTGCTGCCCCAGGCCCCTTCATTGCCATGAACTCCAAGATACATGTGCAGCTACTACTGGCTACAGAGCTGAGCCAGGGCTCCAGATCTGCTGCAAGCAGCCCGGGCTCTGTGGCTGGCAGCAGGTGCCAAGTACCCAGGCCGTCTGTGGCATGCCAAGCAAAATGGCCTCATGCATACGTGCTGGGGGGTTGCCGACTCCTGTGCCAGATAGTGCAGATATCCAAAATAGAGGTAACAGTGAAGTATGCCCCAACAGCCAGTCTACTACATGAGTGAGAAATCTGCCAGAGACAGCCACAGGTTCCTGTGTTATAGGTAGAAAAATACATTGCCTAGCTTAATACTAGGGACCTACTCCTGGCAAGCATGCTGAGTGTGAGGAGACGGATGCTGGGCTCAGTAGCTGGATCAGATGAAAAAAAGACAAGGAAGGTAGGATAGCCTAAGAAGAACCATTGTAAAAGTAAGCAATGCTAGCTGCCACAAGTATCATTCTTATTTATATTACAATAGTGTGTATATCTAACTTAAGCCAGTTTTTCCCTCAAGCTCTATCCAGGCAACTGCACTAAAGTTCAGTCAGGGAAAAGCCAGAATGGGCTTAAAATACTCCTTTTTCACACAGTATTAAAAAAATAAAAAAATCTTTTTAAAATACTGAAAATATATTTTAGTTCAGGTAAAAATATGAAATATAAACATTTAATGTAATATCTAAAATAACTGTGCTAAAGGGCATGTGAATTATTTAGTTATGCTGACTTTCAATAATGGCACATTAACACTAGCAGGGAGAAAGAATTTGTGTTGGTAGCGCAGGAGAGAGGCTCATGCATTTCTGCATAGAGCAAATCTGCTAAGAATGAAGTACGAAGGATCCTGTGACAGTAATATTCATGCACTATGATGCAAGGAATGATGTGGTGATGTGATCCAGTTAAAGCAGCACAGTATACAGCATCCAACATAGTATGTATGTGTAACTGATCTTCTCCAAAGTCAAATATTTTCTGTGAGCTCTTTTGGTTGATAATAAGTTCATGTTAAAAAGAAAAAACCTGCACAGACTTTCATCAACTCTGGTTAAATTTATGATACATAACTCAAAGATGTATGAACTAGATCATGGAACACATACTTGTTCTGAGAGAGGAATAAAGAGCTAGACTGCACAGATTTGGCTCAAATTGAGCAAATCCAATATATTTACAAAAAAAGTCTTTAGAGAGAGTAGATCCCTATTTTTTTTTCTTTAAAAAACCTTGATTTTGCACCATGCACACAAACTCATCTAGGTAATAGCTGGTTTGTATAGCTAAACACCTAAACATTGAGATATAACTTATTATTAGCATCCTATTTGTATGGAAAACAGTGAAATAATAAAATTATCTGTCCAGGTTTTCAGCTGAGAAGATGCCTCCTTGTATATCACCAACAGTAGCTAGATGCATTCATTGCAGATTGTAGAGATCCAATATTTCAATTCCATACTTTTAAATATCACTTAGAGCAATCACAGAATAATACAAACAATTCCAAATGTGCTTCAGCAGCTAGAGAGAATGATTGCATCAGGTTTTGGCAGTGACTGGATTATTCTACTCCACAATGGCAGCATCCAATGTTAGAAGAACAAAATGGCAGCAAAACTGGTCAGCAGCTTCTCTTCATCTGGAGTTTGCAGGTAGTTAAAAAACAAAACAAAAACAAAACACAAAAACCATAAAGCTGCAATGGGAGCAGGTGGAGGTCCTGGCTCTTGCATTGCTTTGATGAAAGTAAACTATATGGGTTTCCTCAGATAAGCACATCACCATCCAGGAGAAGCAGAAACATATAAATCATCCAGATAACGATCTTCAGCAAAACAACTATGGTTCATACTGAACAGTGACCTTGTCAGCTACATGTTTTGTTCATCTGTAGGTTCATCTCTGATCAGCCTTACAATGTATTAACTTCACTGGTGTTTTGGCTGGATGACATATGGGTGTCCAGATTCTCCTTATATTTCTCCAGATCATGGAAATAAGGGTGAGACAGGGCAACATAGGCAGATATTCTCTTAGCTGGATTAAATGCTAAACATTTCTGTAAGAATGAAAACAAATTGTTTTTAATATACTGGTCATAGTAAAATATATAATCAATATTATAAATGTTGAAGAGGTATGTTAATGAGCACCACTGTTTTACTATAGGTATGAGATACACGAGAGCTTTAGAAAGATCTAAAGCAATTTCAAGGAATGCCTGAAATACCTTACATATTCCATCACTCAGCAGGAAGGGAGAATTCAGTCAGGTCACATTATATGAATACTATACACAGAAAATCAGGATAAAATAACATTAGGGTTGCAAAGTCAAGCCCTCACATATTAAATGTGAATTTCAATCCCTCCAATGCACACACTGGATCTCTGGCTCATTCAGCGTACAGGATGGATTTAGTGCTTAGCTCATAAGAAGCTAGCTCTTCATTACTTTGAATTCTCCTCAGTGTCTGATGTATGTGACTGTGTCTTATTTACTGTACACAATTCAGACCTTGCTATAAAGACCGAATTATTTTTTCTCTCTAGCAATTTTCTGAGGAGCTCATCACAACAGTATACAAGTACTTCACAAACAGTATTAGCTCTGGAACAGGAAAATATTATGAAATGCTTCCCACACCAGCTTCAGGAAACTATTTTCACTAATCCCTCACTCTTCTGCTCCAGGAACTTTCTATAGGCTTCCAAATATTCACAAACAAGGTAACTCTGGCAGACTCAGCATATCCAATTGTGGTACCATCACTTGACGAGCTATCCTGAAATCACTTGTCACTCAAAGAGCAAATTTTCTACAAGACACAACAAACTTCTTCAAAAGAATCCAGAACATCAAACACCTCCCCAAGGTCAGACTTGCCACCATGGATGTCACCAGCCTGTACACTAACATCTCATACCATGAAGCCTTGCAACACAACGTTGCACAAATCTTCCACTTCATCCTCACCCTCAACTTCACTTTCAACAATCATCACTTCCTCCAAACCACAGGCACAGCTAAGGAGACAGCCCCTCAATATGTCAACATCTTCATAAACCACCTGGAGGAGGAATTTCTAGAAAACTGCACCATCAGGCCTGCACTATACCCAGGTTACATAGATGATATTTTTATCACCTAAATTGAACAGCTGAACTCACTTATTGACTTCCATGACAGGTTTAAAAATGATCACCCCTCAATCAAACATTTACACACACCCAGCTCAGCATTTATCAGACCAGTTGTAATCTGAATTTACAAAGGACCACCCCCCCCACACCCCCCTTTCTAAGCAGAAGTAAAGTTTAATAGGCATCTTGGGCCGCACATTCCCTGGTCCCACTATAGGAGGCCTATTTAAACTTAATTGACTAAAACTCGGTTGCCAGGTTAGGGAATGCTGAGGCAAAGAGACTGAGTCAGAGGGGGTATGGGCAACATTTGGACAACAGTAAAGAGTTCATGACAGCGTCCAGCCTGTTGGAGCCCTGTCCACAAGTGTTGTCATACTTTTCCCGGGACAACTGGTGGAAGTCCTCCCCCACAAAGGTTATGAACACTCCAATAATTGCCTTAAGTCTGTTAAAAGACTATAGTAAGATCTGGAAAAGTCATGCTAAACTGAGGCTTGTTCACAACAAGTAAAAATCCAAAACCCTGATGCTGCAAGCTATCTATTGTTTCTGAAGAAACCATGAGATATCCC